CTCTATCTTAATTTCAAAAGTTGAAGCTCTTTTTGAATCATCAACCACAAATTTGTAAACCCTAAACTGAAACCAAAGCAAGACGTCAATTTATCATGTAAAAGAAAAAACGATTAATCTCATATGAAACAAATATGAGATTCACCACTTCTCAACTTTCTGCCAAATGAAAATTCATGTTTACAACGGCAATGGTTATCCTCTCATTCTTAATTTGATATGTTTATCTTGTCCACACTTCACAGATTCTTCTTTTTTGTTGTATTTCTTACTAATAGAATTGAAGCCTTTTACTTTGATGAACTCTAAATGTTTGAAGAAATTTCTCATAGTGTTTTTAATATGTTTTTTGAAATTCCTTTATCACACTCTAAATGTTTGATGAAATGTCTCATAGTGTTTTACTTTGATGCACTCTACATGTTTGATGGAAACTCCTTAGCCCAACAATACCTGAAATTATGGTCTATTGGTGCTCCTGCAGCTCTTTCATTAGCAATACGAGGAGTTTTTCAAAGATTTACTAAGAGAGCATTCGTTAGAATCCGGCCTTACTTCAAGCTAACAGTTGTTTCTAATATCATGTTATGGTATGACTATATCCTTACTTTCACTCGTCGTAGCTCTGAGCATATGTTTAAGATGTGTGGTCGAACACGATCCTATCGAGTTTATATATTTTAAAAATATGAAATGTATGTTTTTGTAGTTTGGAGATATGATACAATCAAGGACTAGTACTCATATCGGGGTTGCTTTCTAATCCAACAGTTGCATTGGATTCTATTTCCATTTGGTATGTTAACAATTTCTCTTAGAATAATGTCTCTTAAAAAAATGCAAAAGAAAAATCAAGTAGTTATATTACTTGACCCAGAAAAAAAGTTCATTCATAGTGAGGGAGAAGTTCATGTTGCTAATTTTTTTGTGGTATTCTGCAGCCAGGCCCTGTAGCACACACATGTAGAAGTATGGCCACTGGTCCCTGATGTTATGAATTTTGACAACACAACTACTAAGCTTGAAAGACAGGGAATATATCGTGGCTCAGGTATGGATGAAAGTTTTGGTGTTGATTGGTATGCTAGCAAAAAGTTTATAACATTAAATAATAAAATAGTGTGTTATTATATTGGTTGTTTGCTTGTTTGCTTTATTCATGCGGTTGTTCATTTCATATAAACTTCAGTTTTTTGAATAATTTATTCAGCAAGTAATTATTGTATTAGGACCCTTGTGGATTGCTGGGTCAAAACTAATTTGACATATTTTGTTTCCGTTAATTTAATGTCGACTGTCTTGACAAATTCTTTTCTCCCCTTTTAGAAATTTCGCAATCACAATCTGCTGTTGTCGGCCCATTCTCTGTTATAGGATCCGACACCAAAATTGGCAACAACACTATGATATTAAATTCCATTGTTGGAGGAGGATGTAAAATTGGATCAAATGTACACATAGAGGGGTGTTATATATGGGACAATGTCACCATAGAAGATGGCTGTGAACTTAGGCATGCTATTGTATGCGATGGGGTGATTATGAAATCAGGATCTGTTTTGGAACCTGGTGTAGTATTGTCTGCCATAGAGACAGTGTTGACGGTAATTTTTTCATTTACTTGAATACGAGTTTAGAAGATAACTGTATTTTGTACGTCCTTGAAGGTCAATACTCACTGCAGCACAATTTTTTTTTATACTCTACAATTGAATTTTAATTAAATCATTTATGGTTTTATATCAAAAAAGTAAATCATGTAAGGAAATGCATCAGACCTTTTAAAAACTACTGAGTAATTAACAAGAAATTATTAACAAGCCTTTGGTTTATATTTTTTAGGCTTAATCTTTTTGTATACCTTTTAATTGGATACAAATTAATTACTTTCACGAACTTTCTAAATCTTGCATGCTGGTGGAAAATTTGGTGGTGTCAATAGTGGCTACTCTGTTTCCGGAGTTTTACATGGTGTTGGCTTATCTGTTGTTAATGCCTTGTCTGAGGTACGTCTTCCTTACAATTCTCGTTCTTTTCTGCCTTGAACTTTGCAATGTATATCAGAAGCTTTGAATATCAAATTTGATGCACGACTTACATTATAAGACATCTTGAGACATACTCATATTCTTCAAATATCATATATCATATATTTAGATGGTAAAAATTAATGCCATCGCATTTATATTTATTTCAGTATGAGGTTTCGTTCCTTGTTTCAGTTAATTATTAGTGTTTTCTAAAGACTATCTTTGTTGTCTAACTCCACAGGTATTAGAGGTAACCGTTTGGCGTGAAGGGTTGGAATACACACAAACATATTCTCGCAGGAAGCCGGTGACAACTTTGAATTGTACCAGCACCTATCAGTGGTGAATCACCGATTCGACCACTCATTTTGTTCATTAAACCACCAGTCGATGTGGCAGCAGCACACCTTCCTTCACTATCAACCACCACACATCCGACAGTCTCCGACGCATAAACCCTTATCCTGGAAGAACAATTTCAAATGTATGCTTCAAAAGCTATGGCTACATAAGCATGGCTCAGGTTGTTTCGTTCCTTAGCGATTTCAAGCTCAGACATTATATGAAAATCTCTCCAAGGTCAATGTTCTTAGTGCAGGTATACTTATTTTTTCAGCTGTTATAATTATGTTTGCAAGGTTTTACTTTCATTTACCTTTCTTATATGTTATCTAATGTATTTGTTGTGTTAAATTTTTTTTATTTCATTAGGACAATGCTTGCTGGAACTATCAACATTTGTGTAGCATGGTGGCTGCTAGAATCTGTCAAAAACATATGTCATGAAGATCTTCTTCCCGAAGGTAGCCCGTGGACATGTCCGAGTGACCGTGTTTTCTTCGATGTATCAATTATTTGGGGTCTAGTAGGACCTAAGAGGATATTTGGTACTCTTGGAGAGTACTCAGCATTTCCACAAGTCATGAATTCTGTTGATTAATCTTCCAGTACTCTTGGGAGCAACCGGAATGATGCCTCCAGCAGTAACATCATTGAACTACAACGCATGGATTGTAGTTGGAACCATTTTCCACTTCTTTATCTTCCGTTACAGAAAGAAATGGTGGCAGAGATACAACTATGTTTTTCTTTAGCACTTAATGCATGGGTGGCTTGTATGGCTGTACTACTTTACTTTGCATTAGGATTGGAAAATGTAAGTCTGAATTGGTGGGGAACTACTGGTGAGCATTATCCTTTGGCAACTTGTCCAACTGCCAAGGGTGAAGACAATGCGTTGAGTAGAAGAATCAAAGAAGCAAAGAAAGAAACACAGCAACAAAACATGATTTCTCAGTTCTTCATCCTTTCCCAAAGAGGCGACAACATCGTCTTTCACGATTGTCTCTGTTCATTCCCAATTTCATTTCTCACCATTCTCCATGTTTCATCATTCTCAAAACTCATCACTAATTTTCACTCCCTTGAATGCAGATCATGGTGAAGTACAAAAGGGAAGCGCTGAAACGTTTTTCCGAAAAGTCAAGTTCTGGAAAGAGGACGTTGATGGTGATGCTCCACCTGTTTTTGTAGGTATTTTGTTCAATGATTGGGAATATGAATTGTTTGATTACAGTTAGTGGAAAAAGATCCAGGTAGATCTATTTCCCTTTTCTGGGCTGCCATTAATGCGGGTGATCGCGTCGAGAGTGCTTTGAAGGACATGGCTTTAGTTATGAAGCAATTGAACCGGTCCGACGAGGCAATCGAAGCAATCAAGTATTTTCGCCATCTCTGCCCTTCTGATTCTCAGGAATCTCTTGACAACATCTTGGTTGAATTGTATAAGGTATAAGGCTTCAGAAAAGTCTCTTAGTTTCTTCATATAATTCTGTCATAACTCAATTCTTGCTATGATATCTGTAACTCAATTTTGTATATGTTGTTATAGAGTTCAAGAAGAGTTGATGAAGAGATTAACATGCTTCATCACAAGTTGAAGCAAATTGAAGACAGTATGACATTTGTCGAAAGGTCGACAAAACAAGCGAGATCTCAAGGGAAGAAAATTAAAATAACCACTAAGCAAGAGATATCGAGGATACTTGGCAACCTGGCTTGAACTTATTTGCAAATAGGAGACTATAAAACCGCTGAAGAACATTATAGGTGAGTCTTTTATTTGATGGAATCGAAATGCATTTCTGATTTTTGTGTTTCTTTAGAGAGAAGTAATAAAAGTTCCTTATTTGTGTCTTCTAGAAAAGCACTTTCCTTTGAGGTTGATAGGAACAAACAATGCAATTTGGCCATATGTTTAATGAAAATGAACAAAATTACAGAAGCAGGGTTTTTACTTCAGGCAGTAACTGCAGCAACGAAAAACAGAAAAATGGACGATTCTTTCGTCAAGTCTTTTGAACGCGCTACACAAATGCTGCAGGAAATCGAATCAACATAGTTGGTAGATTCAGTCAAAGATAAAGGTGATAAAATTATAGAAACTCAGAGATTTTTAGGAAAGACTATGTCATCACAATACTCCACGTCGAATTCGGAGAACTCTACTGGAAAGAACTCAATAATATGGCTAAAAGTAGGACATAAAATAATTGGTCTACCAGAAAGAACTCGGATAATATGGTTAAAAGTAGGACAAAAAATAATTGGTCTTTAACTTCTGATTATGAAGAATCTCGTCATTCTCACGCAAGGAGAAGATTATATGAGTCTCCTGATCCGAAGGTTCCTTACGCAAAACCAAAACGATCATCTTTGGGTTTTAATAATCATTCAGATTCTAAACCTTCACCTCTGACTTATCCTAATGAGAAGGTTGTTCCATACATAATTAAGCCAAACTCGACACAAAACGAATTTTTTCTGCATACCAATGCAAGTTGGAGAACAAGGACATTTGAAGATGATACTGCAGTAGTAAAATGTGGACCTACAACAACAGTAAAGTAAGGAAATACAATCACCGTGTACGGTTCTGGTACGATACATCCTAAGAACTCAGAGACGGCTATGAAACTCACAAAGAATGATGATGACAACAACAAATCTGATACAAATTTGCACGGCAGAGTTGTGAATGGAGCTAATGAACTTGCAGCTTCTGTTGATAAAACAGACCAACAAAATCAAGGTAGTGAAAAATGTCTATATCAAAACTTCTATTAGTCTTACCAATTTATTGACAGTAACTTACTTAACAATCTTCATATGAATTTGCAGACAAAAAACCAGTTGAGAAGAAGAGTGGGGCATATATGGTAGAAGAAGAGCAACAAACTGAAGAATATGAGTTCTTCAATAACGGATATACAAATTTCGATGCTGAAATGTTTAGTAACGAAAACGAAGACTCAAACATAGTCTATCAACATGAAAGCTTAAACGAAAAGCTTGAATTATTGAACTTGAAGAATGGATATAATGTTGCACCTGGGATAGATCCTTTATCGAGGAATCCGACAGTAAGGCGTTCGCTGTTTACGAATCCGGGTGAAATGGATTTATTCTCTGGAGAAGATAAGCTAACAAGAAGAGTCAGGTTGCAAGTTTTTCAAGATTTTACTTCCTCATCCTGAAAACAGTATTTGCCTCTTGAAGTGACCAAAATTGTTCTTATTGTATTTTAATATTAGTGAACACATTAGTAGTGAATTTTTATTTCGATTGTTTTTTCTTATTAACTAGTTTGAAATTTGCATTGTTTTTTGTTATTAATTTGGTTGGACAAGTGATTATTAGTAACTTGATTGTGTCATTTTTAGCAATGTAATTCTAAAAGTACTTGTTTTGACTTTATAGTAATGCTTGGTTGCTTTAAAAGTTTGAATGTGATTAGTGTTGCATTGTCTTATTCAAATTAGATTTTTATTTTTATATTATTATTACTTTGATATTGAACAATAATTATAATATTTTAAATATAAATTAAACAAAATTAACAACAAACATTAAAAACATGAAAGAGAAATTACCTGCGGATTTTTAGTTTATTGCGACATTTCCTGCGATAAGTTCATTTACCTGCGTTGTTATCTGCAAATTTATCTATTTTACCTGTGATTTTTTCCTGCGACATTTTTCTGTGACATTTTCCTGCGACTTCACCTGCTATATTAATTACCCACGAAGGTTTTAGCTGCGAATAGAAAATAGCAGGTAACATGTTCCCTACGAAAATTGTCAAAATTCGCAGGTAAATCTGCAGGAAAACAGAGTATTTCTAGTAGTGTATTACTTGTTGAATAACGTGAAATTTTATGAAAAATAAAATAATCTTTTGAATTTTAATGTGTAAATATTACTTGTTGAATAACGTGAAATTTAATGAAAAAATAGTCTTTTGAATTTTAATGTGTAAATATTGTTAGAACACAGATTGGTTCTTAATAATATCTCTATGTTTTGATGATAACTATTATGAAATTTTGTAATTAAGAATTATATACTCTAAAATTTGCTTAAGAGTCTTTGCTGCAGATATTAACGTAATTATCACTCCAGAAGCAAATCAGAACTGAACATAAGAAATACGCTAGGCTCTGAAGCATCAGATGCATCCATTAGAAGATTCTGAACGCTGCCATCAGAAGATCCTGAGCGTAACCTCCAGAAGGATCTGAAGCAGAAGCTCCAAAAGAATCAGAAGCAAGTCAGAAGCATCTGAACCAAAGAAGAATTTGGTATGAAGAGTTTTCAAGCATAGTTACTACAGAAGATTCTGAGAGTACTAAAGTTGCCAGTACTGAGGATCTGACTCAAATATGCTCTGAACTTATACACGCTAAAAGCACACTTGCTGCAAAGACTCTGATTCAGCAAAACTCTGATCAACATCAGAAGACTCTGATCAAGTTAGACTCTGATGATTCTTGCTGAAAATTGGTGAAGAAGAATTCAAAGATTATGTCCGTTGGAATATCCAAACGACTCTTTCCTTATTTATGCTAGACACAAGAACACAGACAAAAAGGATTTCTCTGTGCTTTCTTATTCTAGGAAAGGTCACTTGATGTGAAGACAAAAAGGCTCAGACCTTCTGGTACACACTTCTCAACGTGAAAAGCTCTTGGACCACTGTGCCTATAAAAGCAAGTCTCCACCCATCTTCTTCAGTTGACGTTTTACCTGAAAAGAATTCATTATTCAGAGCTCTCATACAACTCACATTCTTTCTAGAATTAATTTCTTTGTTCTTAATATTAAGTGAAAAATCACAGTTGTGATAAAGCTTTATTAGAAGCATTTTAAACACTTGTATTTGTTATTACATTTGATTGTAAGAAAACCTTAAGAAGATCCAGTTAGGATCAGTAGTTCTTGAGAAGACTTTGAACAGTTGTTCTTAGTGCTTACTATTGTAATCAGTTGATTAAATAGTGGATTAAGTCCTTGTTTGAGAAAGGCAAATCACTCTAGGAAGGGTGGACTGGAGTAGTTGAGTTCAACGAACCAGGATAAAAATACTTGAGTTTTATTTCGAAGTTTTTATCTTCATACTTATTCAACCCCCCTTCTAAGTATTTTCTCACCTTCAGTTGGCATCAGAGCTCCGGTTCTGTGTGTGCTACCACTTCACAGTGACAGTAAAGATCCAGTGAGAAAAACTTTGATATATATTTGGTTGTTACTATGGCTGATAATACAATGTCTAACATTAACAACAAATATGAAGAAAGGGACAGAATCAGCACAAAACCCCCTATGTTTGATGGGGAGAAATTTGATTATTGGAAAGACAGGATTGAAAGTTTTTTCCTTGGTTATGATGCTGATTTATGGGATTTGGTCATAGATGGATATGTTCATCCCATTGATGGGAATGGCAAGAAAGTAGATAGAAAATCTATGACAGAAGCCCAAAAGAAGGAATTTAGAAATCACCACAAGGCCAGAACAATATTGTTAAATGCAATATCTCACACTGAGTATGAAAAGATCACAAATAGAGAAACTGCATTTGACATGTTTGAGTCCTTGAAAATGACTCATGAGGGAAACTCTCAAGTCAAGGAAACAAAGGCTCTGGCTCTAATCCAGAAGTATGAAGCCTTCAAGATGGAAGACTCTGAATCTGTTGAAGCTATGTTCTCCAGATTTCAAATACTTACAGCTGGACTAAAGGTTCTGGATAAAGGATACTCTACTGCTGGTCATGTGAAAAAGATCATCAGAAGCTTACCTACCAGATGGAGACCTATGGTGACTGCGCTGAAAATGGCTAAAGATCTGAACAAGATCTCCTTGGAGGAACTAATCAGTTCACTAAGAAGTCATAAAATTGAACTTGAGGAAGATGAACCTCAAAAGAAAGGTAAATCAATTGCTTTAAAATCTAATAAATCTGCTAAAGCATTGCAGGTAATAGAGGAAAGCTCTGAAGAATCTTCATCTGAAGATGAAGATGAACTATCCATGCTGTCTAGAAGAATAAACAAACTCTGGAAGCATAAAGGAAAGAAGTTCAGAAACTTCAGGAAGCCTGACCAAAGAAAAGAGTCTTCTAGACACAGAAGATCTGGCAAAAACGAGGTTGTCTGTTATGAATGTAAAGAACCTGGACATTACAAAAATGAATGTCCAAAGGTGCTGAAAGAAAAGCCTAAAAGAAAATCTGATAAGAAGAAAAAGGTTCTAATGGCCACCTGGGATGATTCAGATACATCTGAATCTGAATCTGAGTCAGAAGAGGAATGTTCTAATGTAGCTTTGATGGCAGACATAGAAGATCAGGAGGAAGGAACTTCAGGATCTGAATCTGACTCTGAATCTGACTCGGACGCTGAAGAGGTAATGGCTAAACTCACTAAAGAAGAACTTATCAAAGTGTTATCAGAAGTTCTGAAGAGCTATAACAATATTAAGCTCAAATACAAGAAGCGTCAAAGCAATCTTGTATCTGAGAATAATACTCTCAAATCAGAAGTAGCTGAGCTAAATGAAAAGAACTTAAAATTGAAAAATGATTCTGAATTAGCTCAACAAAACTCTGATTCTGAAACTGAATCTGAATGCAAAAAATATTTTGGAAAAATATGATTACAGCTTTCAGAAGTTTCTTGCTAAAAGCATAGACAGAAGCAAAATGGCTTCTATGATCTATGGAGTTAGCAGAAATAACAGAAAAGGAATTGGATATAAATCTTCCTCTGGAAAGGATTTAAATCCAAAACCTGTTGATAAAATTATCATCAAGAAAACTCCTTTATATTCCCACTTTAAATTTGGTCACTTGAATGATATTGAACAAACACGTTCTGAAAAGAATATTCATGTGTTTAAATCTAAGGCTAGTCAGAATAAACCTTATGTTGAAAAACAGAAGTTTAGACAAACCTTCAGAACAACTAACCCAAAAGGACCCAAGAAGATCTGGGTACCTAAAAGTAAAATAATTCCTGTTGCAGATGTTCTTAGCAGCAAGGTCAGGACGCCAATCATGGTACCTGGACTCTGGATGCTCGCGACACATGACAGGAGAAAGGTCTATGTTCCAAAGTCTGGAGCTTAGATCTGGAGGTGATGTGAAATTTGGAGGGAATTAGAAGGGCAAGATCATTGGATCTGGCACTATTGGAAATTGTAAACTTCCCTCTATTACTAATGTTTTACTTGTAGAAGGATTAAAGCATAACTTATTGTCCATAAGTCAATTAAGTGACAATGGTTATGATATAACCTTTAATAAAAAATGTTGTAAAGCTATTATTCAAAAGGATGGCTCAATCCTATTTAGTGGAAAGAGGAAAAACAACATTTATAAAATAAATCTTTCAGAACTTAAGGTTCAGAATGTTAAATGTCTCTTGTCTGTTAATGAGGAGCAATGGGTCTGGCGCAGAAGATTGAGGCATATTAATATAAGACGTATATCTCAAATTAATAAACTTAATCTTGTCAGAGGACTTCCTAATCTGAAGTTCACCTCAGATGCTCTTTGTGAAGCATGTCAAAAAGGGAAGTTTTCAAAATCATCTTTTAAATCAAAAAATGTTGTTTCTACTTCCAGACCACTAGAATTACTTCATATTGATCTGTTTGGACCAGTGAAAACTTCATCCATCAGAGGCAAGATGGACATGGGTAAAGTTCTTAAAACACAAGGATGAGTCACATTCTGTGTTCTTTGACTTCTGTAAACAAGTCCAGAATGAAAAGGATTTCAAAATTATAAAAGTCAGAAGTGATCATGGTGGTGAATTTGAAAATAAATATTTTAAAAAATATTTTAATGAAAATGGCATTGCTCATGATTTTTCCTGTCCTAGAACTCCACAACAAAATGGAGTTGTAGAGAGGAAAAATAGAACTCTGCAAGAAATGGCCAGAACCATGATCAATGAGACTAATCTGGCAAAACACTTTTGGGCAGAAGCAATCAACACAACCTGTTATATTCAGAACAGAGTGTCTGTAAGACCTCTTCTGGAGAAGACTCCCTATGAACTGTGGAAGAACAGAAAGCCCAACATTTCATATTTTCATCCTTTTGGATGTATTTGCTATATGTTGAATACTAAAGAAAATCTGAACAAGTTTGATTCCAAAGCACAGAAGTGTTTCATGCTTGGATATTCTG